AACTCCAGATCCAGGGGAATCCAACGCTGCCTTCTGGCCTCCATGGCACTGCACTACATGGGTGCACTCACATACATGCAGGCAATACACTCATACACATAAAATAAAGATAATAAATAAGGGGCTGGAGAGATGGCTCAGCAGTTAAGAACACTGGCTGCTCTTGCAGAAGACCCAGGTTCAAATCCCAGCACCCACATGGCAGCTAACAACTGTCCGTAACTCCAATTCCAGGGGATCCAACAGCCTCTTCTGTCCTCTGCGGGCACTGCATGGCATGGGTGTTCTTATCTACATGCAGGCAATACACACATACACATAAAAATAAAATATTTTTTAAAATAATAATAAAATACTAAAAAAAGAGATTTGTCAGACTCAAAGAATAATGTAAGCTTTTATTTAAGGAAAACCTACACTTTCACAGAAGAAAATATAATGCAATGTAAAGAATATTAAAGAGGTTCTGCTACTAACTTGTTCAGAAGCTTCACTGACTCCTATGGACTGCCTGCCATCTGTTTTTGCATTTTCCTATCCCCTGACCATGTGGGGAAAAGAAAGAGAAGCTGTATAGGAGAGTATGGCACGGCTCAGACCTGAGGAGGCACACGGAGTTAATCAGAAGGTGGTGCTACTCCAAGTGTACTGATCAGGAGCAAGGTTGCCTAAGTCCAAACTCCAACTTTAATGCAATCTAAGTATGTGACTTGCCTACTTCAACGCTATGCTTCAGTTTCTGCAAATGAATCTACACACTGAAACAACTTCCACATAGAGTAAGGTTAGCACAGGAAAGAACTGGCACGGGTGCCCAGCACACAAGTTAAGTACTTAACAGAACCCCACTACTCTTTTAAGGCTGAATTACCGAATGATGTTTACATAGTACAATGAAACGGTAATGGAACCTTCAAAACAAGTATATTTTTATATTGGCTTTAAAATACATACAATCATTTTCCTGATGAGGGATTAACACCCAGAATACATAAAGAATTCTTACAACTCAACAACAAAAAGCCTAATGAAAGAGGACATACTGGTATTTCTCTAACAAAGACACACATATGAGCAATATACTATGAAAATACATTCTATCTCACTACTAAGGGAAATATAAATCAAAAGCACAATGAGATACCACTTTATATCCATTAGGATAAAGTGAAAAACTGAACAAACAAAACCATTGGTAAGAATGCAAAATACTGCAGCTGCTGCATAAAACTGTATGATTCAGAAAAGAAAAGAAAATGAGAGGACAGGGGAGGGGAGGAGAAAAGAGAAATTATCACATAATCCATCCATGCCACTCCTGATCACATATTTAAATTAAGTGAAGGCAAGGACTCAGATAAATAGTTGTATACTAATGTTCATTGTTATGAACACTATTCATAGCAGCCCAAAGGAAGAAAAAAAATTCACAAATCCATTGACAATTAGGTGGATGAGTAAAAGCACTTGTTGCCAATCCTAATGACCTGAATTTGATCCCAGGAGCCCATATACTAGAAGCTGACTCAAAGGTTGTCCTCTGATCTCCACACACACATCATGGCACATATGTGTTGGTGAAAGGACAACTTGCAGGAGTCATTCCACCATGTGGGTCCTTGGGGAGTGAACTCCAGTATCAAGCTTGGTGAAGAGCACTTCTACCCGCTGAGCCATCTGACCAGCCCTCCTCTGCTTCGTCTATGCAGTGGTTACACATGACTATTCACTCTGCAAAAGGAACTCTACTATACATTCGTGATCTACCTGTACACTTTTCATCGGCATATCGCTGTAACTTAGAAAGATTCTAAATACACGCTTGGTATTCAAACTCCTTTTTTTTTGGACTATATAGTCTGAATGTCTTCATATTTTAACATGAAATTTTAGAACTGGCGATTTCTAGTCCTCAGCTGAAACAAAGGAGGATATACTTTATAGCAAATCAAATACTCTAAGAAAAGTCAAATATAATGTTTAAGTTTTTACTCCTGATGTTTTGGTCAACCTCTTCTGTCTTCATCTTCTACATCCTAGTCCAGGCTGGCAAGATGGCTCAGAGGGTAAAGGTGCTTACAAGTCTGGCCACCTGAGTTCAATTCCTGGACCCCACATCAAGGTGGAAGGTGAAAACTGACTCCACAAATTTGTTTTCTGGCCTCCACATGAGTGCCATGACATTCATGTAACCCCCATCAGACATGCACAAACACACACAAAATAATAGATTAATTAATAAATCTTAGTGCAGCCATTCCAACAGTTTTCTTACTATTACTAGGTAGAAAATAACCCTCAAGTGTGGTCCCATGTTTGCCAAACCACATTTCACAAAAATCAGTAATTATTTGCTCATGGACTTATGCTTAATATGTATTAGGACTCTGAGTAATTCTGTTGTTTTTAAATATTTTATTATTTTTATTTTATGTGTATGAGTGTATTGCCTGCATGCATGTGAGTGCACCTGCATCTGCCGTGGAGGTCAGAAGAAGGCTTTGGATCCCCTGGAACTGGAGTTAAGGGCGGTTTGTGGCCATCATGTGGGTGCTGGGAATCGAGCCTGGGTCACTCTGCAAGAGCAGTGAGTGATCTTAACTGCTGAGCCATCTGTCCAGCCCCTCTGTTGTTGATTTTAAAACTTACTTCTTTTACCTACATATGAAATCAATTAATAAAATGAAAAAGTTATTCTCCCAAACTGTGGCTGCTTTCTTTCACCATTCAACACACATTTAAATGCCTCTTATTTGATTGCAACACACAGCAACAACAAAAAGCATGGCCCCTTATCTACATAGAGAATGCTACACTTATAGCCACTGGAAGCAATGTTAGGTCACAGGTGTGGTTATTTCACCTCTCCCCACACCAATTTCAAAGGGTGGGGGGGTCATTATCCTCAAAACCAGCACAGTAACTACCCTGCCCAGGTTCACATACTGCTAAGTTTGGTTCAAAATATGACCAAGTTTAATGTTCCTATTTTCCTCATAGTCTGCATTAAGACAGAATATTAAAATACTGCAGATCAGTTCTGGATACTCAATGTTAACAGGATTGACAGGACATTAATTTTTTAAAAAATATTTTATTTATGAAATGGAGATCTTTTTCAGAGGTTAAAAAACTCATTCAATTTTATGTCTTACAGGACTTATACTGAGTTCAATATTCTAGAACTGTATTAATTCAACAGCGAACCTAAAAATTTTATAGCCACTTTTGAAAGAGCTGTATCTTTG